TGGGTTTAATAACTAGAACTTCCCCTTTAACATTTTTTATGGCATCAGCATAGGATTGAACATACTCATATTTTCTATTCTGTGTGACACTTGCCAGAACATTTGCCTCCTCTTTAACTGCTATATTTTCAATATTGCGTGTTAGTGCGAGGGGTATTGAAGCGATACATATAGCCTAGCTTACCCAAAAGTCAACCTCACCTTGACGTGGTGCACCCTGTTTACACAAACGAGGCTCTGACGTCCAAGTATAGGCGGTATAACCTTATACAACCCTCAGACCTACCATCTTCTGGGGAAAAGGAGTATTAAAATACACCTAGCCGGCCAAGAACGTAGCACAAGGGAACTATCGTCGCGGTCCTCACTGTGCCATAGCCATCCCGTGCTACAGCAGCAGCTAAAACTGTGCGGTAGCGTAACCGCCACAGTTAAACCTTTTCACGCAGCTTACACACAGCAATGATGGAACATTCGAGTGGGACAAAATTATCGTCCGGAGGTAAAATACCCCCTCAATCGGATCTCCGAGAGAGGATGCCTACTCGAGCATATCATCGGAGAAACAAATAACATCAATGTTTCACGTTTGCGGCGTAGAACGTCCGCACTCTACTGGACAAGATAAATTCAAATCGACCAGAGAGAAGAACAGCACTGGTCTCACAGGAACTCCACCGATTAAATATAGATGTTGCGGCTCTAAGCGAAATACGCTTTGCGGATGAAGGTAGTCTCATTGAGGAGCATTACACCTTCTTTTGAAAAGGTCACCCCGCAACACACAGGAGAATTCAAGGTGTAGGCGATAAAAACCGAAATCGCCACCAAGTTAACAGAGGTACCTATTGGTGTCTCCGAACGTCTTATGACCCTAAGGTACCCCATATCAGACAAAACTTACGTTAACATCATTAGTGCCTACGCTCCCACCCTTGACGCTAAAATTGAGGATAAGGATACATTTTAGCCAGCTTTACAAATGCCCTTCAACGAATTCTAAAGCACGAACGAATCATCTTGCTACGTGACTTTAATGCCCGTGTTGGCAAACAACAGGAAATATGGCCTGAAGTATTGGGAAAACATGGAATAGGAAACGTAAATAGCAATGGTGAACGCTTATTAACAACATGCGCAGAGTATAATCTTTGCATCACCAATACGTGGTTCATGTTGAAGGACAAATTTAAAGGTACCTCGAAACATCCTAGATCAGGCCACTGGCATCAATTGGACCACATAATCGTTCGAAGGACGCATCTAAAAGATGTTAGACCCACAAAAGCTAGAATAGATGCCGAATGCGGCACTGACCTCCGACTTTTAGTTTCAAAAATGAAAATCCAGTTAAAACATCCACACTGTAAAAAGCAAAACAATATGACCAGATTGACCGTACGGGGTCTAGAGAACAACAATACCGCCGACGCCTTCCGGGAAGCCATCAAAAAATCACTTCCACCGATAACTTCAATCTCAATATTGGAAGCTGGACACAATTAAGGGATGTGATTCATAAAACCAGCGAATCAGTACTGGGAAAGTCGAACAAAAAGAAACAACCAGACTGGTTTAACGAAAATCATCCGCATATACAGGGTTTGTTGGAACAAAAGCATAGAGCACATCAAGCAGTCACTGCAAATCCACATAATCCAAGACTGGTAGACAACTTTAAAGCAGCCAACAACACGCTTCGAAGAGAACTGCGCCAAGTAAAGGATAACTGGTGGTCACAAAAAGCGATTCAGATTCAAGAGTACGCCACGCATTACGATTATCGTAAATTCTTCGAAGCTGTAAAAGAAGTATACGGTCCAACTAAGAAGGTAAGCTGCCCAATCATGGCTCAAAATGGCGAACTTCTAAAAGAGGAAGAACAAATCAGAAATCGCTGGAAGGAACATTACAGCCATATCCTTAACCAAGAAAAAAAAACCAATATGGAAGCACTAAACACAATACCTCAGTATACAGCCTCAATGTATTAGACATCCCAATAACAGAACAAGAAATAAAGACCTCCATAAAACAGCTTAAAAACAACAAATCAGTTGGCTGTGACGCGATTCCGGCGGAAATCTATAAGTGTGCAAGTAAAGAACTTATTGGTCATCTTAAGGCTCTTTCCGATGTCGTATGGGAAAGCGGAGTGGTACCTCAGGACCTTCGCAACGCAAATATAGTGAATATATTTAAGAACAAAGGAAGTGCATCACACTGCGGAAATTACCGGGGAATTTCGCTATTGGCTATCGGCGGAAAAATTCTTGCAAAAATAATGTCAAACCGCCTGCACCCATATATAGAAAAAATCCTTCCAGAATCGCAAACGGGTTTTCGTACCAACCGCGGCACCGTCGATTCCATATTTTCCATCCGTCAACTACAGGAAAAAGTAAAAGAGCAGCAGTCTAAACTTTATGCTGCATTCTTCGATCTAACAAAAGCCTTCGACTCTGTGAACAGAGATGCGCTTTGGGCAATTATGAAAAAGTTCGGAGGGCCCAACAAATTTCTTACAGTGTGTAAAAGCCTCCATAACAACAACAAGTCAAGAGTGTCACATCATGGATCACTGAGCGACCCATTCCTAACAAATACAGGAGTTAGGCAGGGATGTGTCTTAGCGCCTCTCCTATTCAACATATCAATGGCAGCGCTCTCCATTATAGTGGATAGCAAACTGCAGGCGAGAGGATTGGGCATTAGATACAGATATGACGGCGGTCTGTTCAACATAAAAAGACTCAGGGCAAAAACACGTACAAAATTTATCACAGAACTTCAATACGCTGACGACTGCGCTCTAGTTGCAAACACGATAGAACAATTACAAGAAATGTTGAACGCATATACCTGGGCATACGAGGCTTTGGGCCGTTTGATTTCGAAAAAGGCCAATATTGACTCTGAAATTCAGCACAGGATTAGTAGCGCCTCAAGAGCATTCTGGAAATTAAAAGACAGGGTTTTCTACAATCATGACTTGAGTACAAAAACAAAACTTGCAGTATACCGAGCAATTATAATCCCCACCATGTTATATGGGAGCGAAACCTGGGTGCCTTACCGCCGACACATGAACGCATTAAACAAGTTGCAATAGAGACACCTTAGACAACTCTTAAGAGTCCGGTGGTTCCATCATGTCTCAAACGTATCGGTCCTTGAAAAAGCTAACTGCGAGAGTATTGAAGTCATGGTCACAAAATCCCGCTTAAGATGGGCTGGTCACGTATGCAGAATGCAAGAAAACCGCATACCAAAATCTCTGCTTTACGGTGAGCTTGTAGACGGTAAGAGGAAGCCGGGTGGACAACTGAAAAAGTACAAGGACATTTTCCACGAAAATTTAAAGGGAATTAACATGCAGAATGAGTGGGAAAAAGCAGCTCACAATAGAACTCAATGGAGAAGGGTTGTAAACTCAGTTAACAGCGGCAACCAAAAAGTAAAGAGGTAACAAAGCAATGAGATTTTTGAATGTCCGGAGTGCGGTAGGCAGATAACATCACGTATCGAGCTTTTCAGTCACAGAAAAGCTCATGAAAGAAAACGCCATGCGTGACCATCTTCTTTATGTGTGTCGAATACTCGTCAGCGAGTAACGGCTGTATGTATGTATGTATATATTTTTGAAATCCACCAACGCCTTTCTAAAACCTTCTATTGAATTAAATACTTGTATACAACTTGCACAAAACCATTTAAGTCCGGGGACGTTTTTAATTACATCATAATGGGATTTACTAATACCAATACATTCTGAGTGAAATATCAATCGACAGACAGCATCACATTTGATGATTCCAGTATCGTTTCTCTTGAATTTCAAATTACATTTGCCGCACTCATCACCCATTTTACAGTCTCCGGCCTGGCCGTACTAACATAGGCCTACCGTCGAACGAACGATGTCATCAGTTGTTATCACTTCTTCCACTAAATTTCAACCGAGATTCCCATCGATCTTTTAAGATGTTTGTGACATTATAATGCAATTTTAACTAAATTTAGAGTTCCAGATATTATCAGATGCACCAATCCTTCACTACAACACACTTTTTAATTTTTTTTATCACTTTTACTTATTCAAAACTCATTTTTATGACGGACTATAGTAATAAGAAATCATTCACTGCTATGCGCCTACTCTGAAAAAGTTGCAAGATATTGCAGGTAATTTTGAACTTTTATCATTGATTTCCAACTCCTCATTGATGTTTGTTGCTTATAAAGTTATTATGCAATTTTCTTGTGTTTACGACACTTTACGGAAATCCCAAAAATCGGAAAAAGCCACTTACGAATAGCTGTTTTTTTTTATTAAAATGCGATTAAACAAATACTTCAAACTTTCTGACTTGCTGAAAGAAGCTCTAAGAACAACTGTTAAAAAAATATATTAGTGAAAATATGAATAAGTTTGTAAAAATCTGAAAATTTTATTCTGTCTTTTAAGTAGACTTTGAATCGTCAAAAAATATTAAATTTTAGGCGAGTTATTAAACAATTTGGCCTATTAGTCAGTGATACGCTTATGAAATCTATCTCCAGAGCATTAAGACTTGGAGAGAAAATTATTCGAGGCGCTACTACTAACCTCGAAAACTACTAATTCTACGTCAAAAATGATAAAGACAATTTTTATAGGTAATTACCTAAGCTTCATTTTTTATTCCAAGAGAGATTTTGTAAATTGTATATTTTAGCAGATATTTATATTTTGTGGCCATTTTTTCGGTTAAAGCTGGCCGAGCACGGTGTTACAGTTTTCCCCAAAAGGTATGTACGAAATCCGCCTAAAAAGTCAAGGCCGACGAATTACGCCGAGACTTTGGTCTTTTCGTGTCCTTATTTACTGGACTAATAACATAAAAACCGCTCTAGAGTTATAAATGGTTATATTAATAACAGAGACAATAATTACATTTTTTTAGGATTTTCATTACTAGCGAGTTTTACTGTTACAGTAACCTAAAGAAAATATTTACCTATCATAACCCTTGCAGGTACAGCGTTCCATTCAAGCCAAAAAGTTATAAATGAGGAAGTTACCAATATTATTCCTGGTATAAATACTGTAGTAAAATAAAAAGCTCTATCTCTTGTAAATATTAGGTGGACCCTCAAACAACTGTAATTCCCTGAAAAAAAAATATAGACATAGTCATGAATAAGAAATGACAAGTTAATTTCGAAAATAAAATCGATAAGTGCTCTGTTTCACTCTTGTAAATATTTTAGATAGTTTAGTAATTTTCCCTTTTACAGTGTCAGCATTTTATTTTGTCCCACTTTAACTGATTGTAACTTTTTTAAGATAGAACATTTATTGAAAAACAAATATCGTTTTTAGTTTTATAACATATTGCCAAGTTTTATAGCAATTACTAAAAATGTCATACGCTGTAAAATATCACAGTTACAGTTATAAACTTATATAGTTTTTTAAATGGGACATCCTGTGTATACAATATTAAATAAGTTTCTAATAAAACTTCTATTTCCAAAAATAAAAAGTTATAGCTAGTTAAAAGCAAGACCAAATTAATAAAAAAATGCTAATAGCGTACAAGGTGTGTGATATTGGAATGTTTTAACAGAGAAACTCTATTTCCTGACTAGATGACACAGAAGACATGGGCTCGATTTTTGAGACATGTTTAATGGCATAAACCGTCTTTTTCAGCGAACTGAGATATTCGAGTAGAGAAATTCGAGTTTTTTTTTAATTTTCGACCATTTTGGAAATTGCCCACAACTTTTTTGTTTCGCGGAATAATAACATTCTATAAAAACATTCTTAAGGCAGTTTTTTAAGCACAACCTAGTGGCATAATTAGTTTTCTTTTATTCTTGCTCTTTTTGACGGAAATAAAAAATATATTTTCTTGGCATTTGCACTGTATGATTTTCCGCTAATTAAAATACTTAAGGGCACTATATAAATTTAGTTAGCAATCAATCTGGTAGATCAATCTTTAATAATTATGGTGCTGTGCAATTGTCAAGTTATTATACTTATTACAGAAATAAAGATGTCTAACATTGATACTAATTATTTATAATTGAAAAGAAAAGAAATAAAATAATCGGACTTGGTTTAACTTGAGACCTCATAACTTTCCGTAGTGGAAAAATTGCGTTGCGAGTCTTGAAATTTTATTTACCTTCTGTTTTTGATGGGATCTCATTTGTTTTTGTAGGTTATCCTCCTAGTTTTTCTGGGGTACTATATGTTTCAAAACAATAAGTTTGACTAGCGATAATTCTTAAACTTTAAATAATTATTCTAGCTTTCTAATTTCGACTGGATAATCAGTTACCGATAGCGGCTAGACATCTAATTTACTGTTTAATAAATTAACAATTTTAAAAAATTCGATATTTTTTTATTTTTTTCCATTCATTATAAGCTAAAAGCTACATAAAATCAAAATTTGAAATTTATGGAACTTCTAGAAGCACCTGTGGAACTATTGTTCAAATAGATTGTCTCATTTCTTTTTATATAATTTGAAAATGTTATTTTAATTTTAAATATTGTATTCTCAAATTATTAGCGTTATTTATATTTAAATATCAGATATTATCTTAAATCTTACAGTTTATTCAAATTTTATTCTACTTCAAAAATGTTGTAACTGCATATTGCATGGTATTCAAATTTTACATTGTTGTTTAAAATAATTTTAAAATACACTTATTATGTTAACTTTTATAGAGAAATATAGATTCTACATACATGTAAGAATGGTTTAACATTCCCCATTGTATATTATTTTCTACAAACATTTTCTCCTGTTGCAAAATACTTTTTCCAACTTTTTCATTTTGTGCACAGCAATTTTGGATAGGTACTAAAGAAATGTACGTATAGTGTAGTATAGAGCTAAGTGTGATATAGAGCTAAGAGATCTAAGTATCGTGAAAAAAAATCTAAAATAAATATTATATTTTTTGTTTCGTTTCTTTGACCTGTATACTATATATTTTTTTTTGTTTTCACTCTTGGCTTTAGGTCGTTGGGGTTGCAAAGATGTTTCTAGATTTTGTTCATTATTTTTTTATTTTGTGACGACGTTTCGACAGTATATGTCTTTTTCAAGCCTCTTTAATTACATAAAAACAGTCAGTTAAAGTCAATAAGATAAAATGTCAAACTAAAAGGTCTTACCTTGAACGTAGATTCTTACAGAGTTAAAATTTGTTAAACTGGACAACACAATAACACATATTAACTATTGTTTTTAATTGTGTTTGGACATTACACTTTACTACGAGCACGTACGTATTTCCTTGCAGATCGCTCTGTATAAAACACATTTATCGGTTCAATACCCGATGTCTACTGTTCTTAGTGCGTTAGAGGATCGACAGATATATTTTGCTTAGATTTTTTAGGTCTTTTTTATCATTTACCGCGTTTTTGTTTTTTTGTATCTCCACCATTTCATAAAATTCTCTCTTTTTTTGGTGATTTTCTGTTTTTAAAATTTTAGTTTTATTAAAATCGAATGTATGATTTTCTGTTGACACATGATTTGTGAGGGCGGTTACATTTTTTTATAATACTTGTGCCCTTTCAGTCTATTTTCTAACCATTGAGAAGTTTGTCCTATGTAAACTTGGGCGCAGTTCGAACATGGAATTTCATATATAACATTGCTTCGTTTGTTTAACGGTGTTACAGATTTTAGTTTAGAGAAATTATTAGCTAACAAGTTATGTGCTTTATGACAAATCGTTATATTATACTTTTTGTGTAACCCTTGTAATTGTTGAGACAACCCATTTACGAAGGGGAGCGCAATATATCGTGTATCTTTTTTAATCTTTTTATTTTCTATTTGATTTTGATTGTTTTTTGTGTTTAAGAATTTTTGGAGTCTATCTTTGAATATTTTGTTTATTAGTTTTTGTGGATGGTTATTTTCTTTTAATGCATTTTTTGCTTTTTTTATTGCAGCATCTCTATATTCTGGGTCGGATAGACGAATTGATCTGTCCGCCAAGCCAATTATCACCGATCTTTTTTGGTTAGCTGGATGGTTAGATAAAAAATTGAGATATCTTGAGGACCAAGTTTTCTTTGTATACCATTCGGTTTTTATGGTTTGATTGGTATGATGTAAAGTAATATCTAAGAAGTTAATTTTTTTATCGTTCTCTATTTCTGACGTAAATTGAATATGTTTATTATAGGCATTAAATTTTTCTTCTATATACCTAATTTTTTCTTTTGGTATAGCTGTTAGATAGTCATCAACATACCGATAAAAAAAGGGTATTTCAAAATCGATATCAGATAGAACTTTACTCTCCAAGTGTTCCATAACCATTAATTACAAAACCACCGAAAATAAATATGGAATAAATATAGTTCAGAATATGAAGAGCTTTGAAAATATTTCAAAGAAGATTGTCAACCAAAAGAACAGGAGAATATTCTTATTGAGATGCAAAACGGAAAATTTAACACCAACTTTGTTAAGATTCAAGATATCTCACTTAAAATTTATTGATGTAAGCCTCGAACGCAGATTTAAGCAAAATATCCTCATCAAAATGTCAAATCAAAATTTAATTTAAATACATTGAACTTATTAATTAGTGATACGTCTAAAACTATCGAAAACCTAACCAATAACAAACAAAAATTAAAATTGGATATAATGAAAGGTATCCCTTATGACACATTTGAGGAATTTGAAACAACTATTAATAAAAAGTGCGAAAATCTGTTTAAAAAAATCAAATCAAAGCACATAAATAAAATTAAAAACCTAATTTCAATTCAATCGACATACACAGAAAAAATAAATTTAAATTGGATCGAGAATCTGACAGATATAGACATACCACAGTACGCATCAGATATCTTAAGTTTAGGGCCTAATTTTGCAGTTAAGATCGATAATGACAAACAAATACCCACTAATGAAATCATTTGTAACATTGAAAATGGTATAAAACATTTAAGATTATACGAGCAGGACGAAATAAGAGCAAAAACGTGTAATATAATAACGAACTTTCAGAACAAATTAAAAAATAAGTCTAAGAGGCAAAAAAGAGATAATAAACTAAAATTAAAAATAAAAAAAACAAACCAGTTTCTAAAGAACCACACGCATTTAAAAGTTTTAAGAGCCGACAAGACAAGTAAAACAGTCATTATGACAGAATCTGATTATGATAAAAAAATGAATACACTATTAGAAGATAAAAAAACCTACAAAATCATAAAAACAGACCCCACAAAAAAATATCAAAAACAAAATAACGAACTTATTGACAGGTGGGATAAAAAACTTTATATTCCTCCAAGTGTTGCAAAAAATCTTAAAATTCATAATGCTATTACACCGAAAATTTATGGACTTCCTAAAATTCACAAAAATGACGTACCGTTGCGACCCATTGTATCCTGTATTCAATCCCCGTTCAATTTACTCTCTAAATTTTTAAAAAACATCCTCAATAATATAGTTTATAAAAATAATTATTACATTAGAGACTCCATTGATCTCAAAGAAAAAATAAAAGATATAACAATACCACAAAATTACATATTAGTATCTTTAGATGTAATTTCCCTATATACCAGTATCCCAATTAAATTAGTAACAAAGGTAATCGAAGAAAAATGGGACGAAATTAAGCAATACACTGATATCCCGATGAACGAATTTATTGAAGCTACTGAACTTACGCTTAACTCAACTTACTTTATGTATAAAGACCAAATTTATAAGCAGATTGAGGGTTGTGCAATGGGGGCGTCGATTTCTAGTGTTGCAGCGCAAATGGTTATGGAACACTTGGAGAGTAAAGTTCTATCTGATATCGATTTTGAAATACCCTTTTTTTATCGGTATGTTGATGACTGTCTAACAGCTATACCAAAAGAAAAAATTAGGTATATAGAAGAAAAATTTAATGCCTATAATAAACATATTCAATTTACGTCAGAAATAGAGAACGATAAAAAAATTAACTTCTTAGATATTACTTTACATCATACCAATCAAACCATAAAAACCGAATGGTATACAAAGAAAACTTGGTCCTCAAGATATCTCAATTTTCTATCTAACCATCCAGCTAACCAAAAAAGATCGGTGATAATTGGCTTGGCGGACAGATCAATTCGTCTATCCGACCCAGAATATAGAGATGCTGCAATAAAAAAAGCAAAAAATGCATTAAAAGAAAATAACCATCCACAAAAACTAATAAACAAAATATTCAAAGATAGACTCCAAAAATTCTTAAACACAAAAAACAATCAAAATCAAATAGAAAATAAAAACATTAAAAAAGATACACGATATATTGCGCTCCCCTTCGTAAATGGGTTGTCTCAACAATTACAAGGGTTACACAAAAAGTATAATATAACGATTTGTCATAAAGCACATAACTTGTTAGCTAATAATTTCTCTAAACTAAAATCTGTAACACCGTTAAACAAACGAAGCAATGTTATATATGAAATTCCATGTTCGAACTGCGCCCAAGTTTACATAGGACAAACTTCTCAATGGTTAGAAAATAGACTGAAAAGGCACAAGTATGATAAAAAAATGTAACCGCCCTCACAAATCATGTGTCAACAGAAAATCATACATTCGATTTTAATAAAACTAAAATTTTAAAAACAGAAAATCACCAAAAAAAGAGAGAGAATTTTATGAAATGGTGGAGATACAAAAAAAACAAAAACGGGGTTAATGATAAAAAAAGACCTAAAAAAATCTAAGCAAAATATATCTGTCGATCCTCTAACGCACTAAGAACAGTAGACATCGGGTATTGAACCGATAAATGTGTTTTATACAGAGCGATCTGCAAGGAAATACGTACGTGCTCGTAGTAAAGTGTAATGTCCAAACACAATTAAAAACAATAGTTAATATGTGTTATTGTGTTGTCCAGTTTAACAAATTTTAACTCTGTAAGAATCTACGTTCAAGGTAAGACCTTTTAGTTTGACATTTTATCTTATTGACTTTAACTGACTGTTTTTATGTACTTAAAGAGGCTTGAAAAAGACATATACTGTCGAAACGTCGTCACAAAATAAAAAAATAATGAACAAAATCTAGGAACATCTTTGCAACCCCAACGACCTAAAGCCAAGAGTGAAAACAAAAAAAAATAAATATTATATTATGTACATTCAGATGCAAAAAAAACGCAACGGAGAAATTTTTGGTCCAATTTAAAGTGTTTTATTTTTGTTATTTTTAGTCCTATTTTTATGAATTTTTTAGCAAACTGTGTATAATTTTATCAACTTTAATTCGTAAACTAAGTTTTTTATAAACTTTAGTGTTTGGCATATTATACAGGGTTATTCGAGGAGTTGTTTTTTACCTTAAATTTAAAACACCCTGTGCAATAATTTCGTGTGTAAATTTTCCTAAAATATAATTTTACAGTCAGAACCATGACTCCTGAGCATTTTGTTTTTTGATTCATGTCAATACATCCTTTGGTTAATTTTTAAGAGCGGAATCAACTGTTCAATTATCATTACTTTTTGATGTAATTTTTTAATATGACGAGATGGTTTTGATGACTGTTGTCGTAATGTCATATACGCTGCATTGGATACTTTATACTAAAAAAAACGTTAAAGAGTAACGATACAGTCCTGGTTTTAATAATCATTAATAATGATAACAGAACTAACTATATTAAAGAAAGCATCTGTAATACTTAAGTATACAAACAGAAAAAAAATTTGTAAAAAATATCCCAATACATTGCATTGCTTCCCTTGGCTGCTATAACTGCCTGTATACGTCCGTTCATACTGTTATTGAGGCTGCATATTATATCATATTGCGTTATGGGCTTTCCCATTCTTCTTTAAGAACCAAGCGAAGTTCATTTAATAAAGCTGGTACCGCTTCGCGACCTCTAACCCTCCAGCCAAGCATGTCCCAAACTTCGAACACGATGGGCAGTTCATAATAGTATATAGTTCACAATAATCACCAAAGCCGACTTGTCATATTGACAAATAACTTAAATAAAAAATAAATAATAAAAAATGATAATGGAAAAAATTGCAAATTGGTGGTGTCAACTTCATTTCGCTCTTAAAAATTAACCAAGGCATATATTGACATGATCCAAAAAAACAAAATGCTCAGGGGATATGGTACTGACCGTAAAATTATATTTTAATAAAATTTACACACGAAATTATTGCACAGGGTGTTTTAAAGTTAAGGTAAAAAACAACTCCTCGATTAACCCTGTATAATATGCCAAATACTAAAGTTTATAAAAAACTGAGTTTACAAATAAAAGTTGGTATAATTATGTACAGGTTGATAAAAGATTCATGGGAATAGGGCTAAAAATAACAAAAATATAACACTTTAAATTTAACCAAAAATTTCTCCGTTGCGTTTTTTTTTTGCATCTGAGTGTATATTATACTACATATAAAATTAGGATGGCAAATTATAAAAATAAACACTTATTAATTTCTTATAATATAAACAAAAAATAAATCTTGTATAAATTTAAAGATCTTCTGGCATGCAATATTATTGAATAATTAAAAAATAAAACTAAATAAATGCGTCTTAATCTAGAATGTTAGCAAACAAACGAAAAAAAAATCAAAGCAAGTTACCAAACAACTCCATACCTCTCCAACTAGATTGTACAGGGCATGGTAAAGTTTGATTATTAATAAGATAAGCGTTGAGAGTTGTTAAACTTGGAGACTTCCTTAAAACATCTTCGTCGTTTTTCCATACGTAGTTCATGGATGTTGTTTCATATGATACTGAAAAATATTAGCATAAATAGAGAACTATTTTTGGAAAATGACAAAAATTACAAGTGTACAAAAATTCACTAAAATTAAAATTTACAAAAAAAAATATAATGACATAGAGGTACCTAGTAATGTATTATTCCCAAGATTTTTTATAAATATCTAATTTTTGAAGGTACGTAAGAAATAGTTAATAGTACTATTATTAATTGGAGATTTATATTGACATTTAATCATAACAACATATAAGTAAATAAAATGTTTTAATGGTGAAAGGATAGTATAAAATAAATTGATTTGTTAAAATTCAATCTCTCTCTTCTCGCTCTCCTCTTTAATATATATACAGGGTGGGTTTTAAATAAGTGCAAATATTTTGAGGGGTAGTATATTTCGACCCCATAAATCCATCTATGAGGTTTTCTAATAATAAATCTATCTATGAAGCTATCTGTCTATAAGTTTTTTTTCGCGAATTTTTTTTTTTAAATTTGGAGTCTTTTGAAAAACATATTGGATTTTTTTTAAAATTTTAGTTAAAAAACATAATTTCTTCATAATATGGCAACATAGGTAGTAGATTGAATTTTGAAGGGCCCAGGGGAAAAGCTTGATAAGCGCCAATTTCTCATTTTGGTTTAGGATTTTACAAAATTATAGTAGGTCTAACTGGTCCCTACAAAATGTATAAACTCTGCAGGGTAATAAGTTGTTAGATGATATGCCTAGTAAAAATATAAAATACACGCAAAGAACCTGATAACGGCCAGCCGTCCAGTGCTCTCCTGTATAATTAGTAAAATAAATGGCGCTTATGTGTTTTTTCCCCTAGACCCTTTCTTAAGATTCACCTTGTATAAGTGATTTTTCCAGGTACGACTTGATTTTTTTTATAGTTTTATTTTAAAATATTTTCTCTTATTTGAAATTTGAGAAAACTGTTAGTAGTACATATTAACAATTCCTTACGTACCTTTCAAAATTCAAATAACCAACGGCTTCTCAACTAAACAACACCAACTAAGATATTAAGAACAAAAAACCTTTTTGTTAATAATAAACAATTAAAAGTTGATAAAAGGTAGGCAGTCAAAAATATGATAAATATTTAAGCCATTTTAAATTGATACCAAGCTGTGATAAAAACCACTATCAAAGTTAGAAGCTTTTGATATCTTTAGTCACATTTGTACTATTAAACATTGGGTTTATACGTCTCTAGCTGATTTATTAGGTATATTGATTTCTTATAATAATAATGACGTGTAACTGGGATGTAATTAATTTATACAGAGGTACCAAAAATTGCTAAAAATCTTAGGATATCGCGAAAAAAATATATACAGGGTGGCGCATCTCATTCGCCTCGGTTGATTATACGAGAACGGAAAGATGTAGAAACAAAATATTTTATGGGTATATGTGGGGAGGCAATGTGCACAATTTAAAATTATTTTGAAATATACAGGGTGTTTCAGAACTAAAATATATACCAAAGTTATATTTTTTCTTATGGAACACGCGGTATTTTATTTCATATTTGGATCCGTGGACATAAAATAAAGTATTTATTATAAGGGTTAACTATGTATACCAGCATTGGTTGTTGAGATATTTAAAGATATTTATATATGCATGCAATAGAATAGTTTATTAACACCTTGTACATTACTTTTCAGAACTAATTCTTCCGCTGAGTTTAAAGTTGAAGAAATCAACTTTACTGAAAAATGTTATTGCTTCCTAAAATTTATATACGGGTACCAAAAATTGCTGCTCTATTTTAAGGATTTATTTTATATAAAAACTTTGTTATTTCAAATGCGATACCCTATATTTTTTAAAATAAATGAAAGCAGATATAATGCTCTTTCAAACTATATTAGAGTTTCCTATACCTATCTAGCTCAGATTTTGAATAAAAAGGGATTTTGCAGTAAAATCGCTATCAAGATGGCTGATGTCGCCATGGCAATTTTGTCGTGACATTTAGTAACTATTTTCAATTTATTATTTAGATTTATAACAGTTTATTTAAATGTACCTACAATAGTTTAATAAGTATTCATTATTTTATCAAGAAAAATAAAGCAGTATCTGCTAGCGATACTGGATATGTTATAGTTATAGTTATTTTAATTTGTGAGGAAAATTGCTTCTTGGTCTCAAGGACTTATGCTCAAAGATATCCAAACAGGAACATTCCTGATAACCGTTCCTTTGAAAATAGGCCAGTCAATCTGGAGGTTGAGGTGGAAAAAATTAGTAACCAACCGATCTCAACGGTAGTGTGTAGATAATGATCTCCTATTTAACCCCCCAAAAGTCCCATTCGGTCCCAGTGGGGGAAGTTTGAAAAAAACCGCCGCCATCTTGGATTTTTTCGTTTTTTTCAAATATCTCCGTTTGCATAACTTTTTTCAAAAAAACTAAAGATATGTTTTTTGTAGAGAATTAAATTTAGAATATTTTACCTTTAAGTATTTTTTTCTAAAATAACTAGTAATAGAGATAGAGCAATTTTTTACTATACGGTTTATAAATTTTCAAGTTTTTTTAAACCAGTCAGCTATAATTTTTGCGTAAACAGTATAGTGTTCGTATAGATAAACCAAGTATAAATTTAAGCATGAAAACAATTAAAAATAACGTTTAAATATTATTTATTAAATAAAATTAGTGTTAATAAAATTATTATTAAATTAAAGTTATTAAATAAAATCTACTATGACGGCATCCAGAGAGTCACTTTCGTCCTCAACCGTAGCATTGAACACACTTTGAAGTGAACATTTGAAACATTTAAGAGCAAGTTTTCTACAAGAGCAATTTTTAGAGCACTGACTCTCTTGCAAAATATTAATTTTAGTAGGTCAGGAGGCATCATCTGCTGTTGATTGAATAGGTGTCAAATTGCCTTTTTGATCTTTGTTCCATCCATATTGTAAAGTATCTAACTTGTTACCAATCCATTCTTCAATCTAAAAAATACATCTTATAACATTTCCTATAATAGATATATCTTTACAGTTACCTGAAAGTATGTCCTGAGTAAATGGAGTTTTGCATAGTTCTCAGTTGGAGGCAAATTAGCTAAATTAAAGGTAGTCTTAAGGGCTTGTCTTGATGTAATTATATTGTACAGAGTGTACCTCAGATGCTTAATATGTTTAATATAGCTTGGGCAGTGATATAGCTTTAAAAGATAATTTAATCCTGACTGAAAGAAGTTATCTTTGTTAGGATTTTTTTTCTAAAAATATGTCGAGGTATTGACAAAGATCATCTTTTTTCAGTATCGACAGACACTTTTTTTTTGAGTCAGGATTAAATTATATTTTAAAGCTATATCACTGCCCAAGCTATATTAAGCATATGAACCATCTGAGAATCTCTTAAGACCACCTTTAATTTAGCTAATTTGCTTCCAACTGAGAACTCTGCAAAACTCCATTTACTTAGGATATACTTTCAGGTAACTGTAAAGATATATCTATTATAGGTATTTTTTAGATTCAAGAATGGATTGGTAACAAGTTAGATCCTTTACAATATGGATGGAAGAAATATCAGAAAGGCAATCTGACACCTATTCAATCAACAGCAGATGTGGCCCCTCCTGACCTACTAAAATTATTTTATTGCAATTGGAAAGAGAGTCAATGTTCTAAAAATTGCTCTTATAAAAAACTGGGTTTTGTATGTTCTTCAAAGTGTGGTCAGTGCTACGGAATCAGTTGCACAAACTTTTGTTTTATAGTTGAGGCTAAAATGATGCTCAGGATGGATTTTTATTTAATAACTTAAATTTAATAATAATTTTTTTAACAATAATTTTATATAATAAATAATATTTAAACGTTATTTTTAATTGTTTGAATGCTTAAATTTATACTTGGTTTATTTATTTTAACACTATACTGTTAACGCAAAAATTATAGCGGATTGGTTAAAAAAACTGGAAAATTTGTAAACCGTATAGTAAAAAATTGCTCTATCTCCATTACTATTTATTTTAGAAAAAAAAATGATTGAAGGTAGAATATTCTAAATTTAATTCTCTACAAAAAAACATATCTTTAGTTTTTTCGAAAAAAGTTATGCAAACGGAGATATTTGAAAAAAACCAAAAAATCCAAGAGGGCGGCCATTTTTTTCAAACTTCCCCCACTGGGACCGAATGGGACTTTTGAGGAGTTAAATAGGAGATTATTATCTACATATTCCCGTTGAGATTGGTTGGTTACTAATTTTTTCCACTTTTACATAATATAATACTCGGCTACGTTTACTGGCCTAAAAACTATTTGTCCTATTTCGCAGAGCTGGTAGTGTGCAAGGTTATTAAAAGATAAGGTTGTCTCGTAACTCGATCCGCCATTATCGAAAACATCATCTACTATGTCATAGGAATGATACCACTCATAGATAAAGGGATAAAAACTGCCCACAGTCCGACAGTGCATTTCCGAATCGATACTTCATTGTGTACTTTATTGTTTATAGTGTATGGCGTCAATAGTTTTCAGTTGTTTGATGTGTGTTTTCTTTATTGTATTGTCCATTTATTTCTCTTTGTCGGTTGCATTTTATTTTTTATTCCTTTATCCTATGATTTTATAGTTCTGGAGCATCCCTGTGACGAAGTTGCAGCTTCGCTCCTATTGGTCCAAAAGTTACGAGACAACCTTATCTTTTAATAACCTTGGGTAGTGTGGTTTATAAAAACACCTCTTAGGCGGAAACCTGTCGTTGAAGTGAAGAGAATGAATTTTGCGTAATTGGCTCTTTTATAGAAAATCCATATACATATCTACAAATCATCGTAAAATAAATCACAGAACTACTTCCTCGTTTTTCTTGATAGAACAATAAATACATATTTAATAAATATTATTTATTAAACTATTATAGGTAAATTTAAATAAAGTCCATAAGCTAATTTCGATTTTGAAAATAGCTACTAACTGTCACTAGAAACTTGCCACATCGATACTACCCTTCTTGGTTGCCATTTTATTGAAAAATTGCTCTTTATTCAAAATCTGTGCTAGATATGTATAGGAAACCCTAATATAGTTTGAAAGAGCATTTGAATATGGTTCGATTTATTTTTAAAAATATAGGGTGTTGTATTTGAAATAACGAAGTTTTTATGTAAAATAAATATTTAAAATAAACCAGCAATTTTTAACACCACTGTATACCTTAAACAAAGCAATCAAATTTTTCAGTAGCGTTTATTTCTTTGGCTTAAAAGTCAGCACAAGAATTAATTCTGAAAAACAATGTACCGGGTCTTGACAATCTTTTTTATAATAGCATGCATATTTATCTTTTTTATCTTTAAATATCTCAAAAACAAAAACTTGTAAACATATTTAGCCCTTATAATAAATGCCCTATTTTGTGTCCACGGATCCAAATATGAAATAAAATACCGGGTGTTCCATAAGAAAAAATATAACTTTGGTGTCGGTCTTAGTTCTGACATACCCTGTACATTTCAAAATAATTTTAAATTATGCGCATTGCCTTCTCACATATACTCATAAAATATTTTCTTTCTACATCTTTCCGTTTTCGTATAATCAACCGAGGCGAATGAGGTGCGCCACACAACTAATAACAGTGCTTCAATTGTTTAAACACTTTTTATTTCAACTATAGCAAACCTTACTAATTTACTCAAAAAAATTTCAAGAAAAAAGAGTTATAATATTTTAAGTATACAAATAAGTGCTGCTTTCAAAAAAAAAATAATTTGAAACATAGTTGAAAATAATTTAAATGTAATATATGGGTATAATATGTTTCAAATTTGATATAAATCGAATTGGGGTTATTTTTGGTATCCCTTTATTCTGCCTTTCGATATATATTTTAGTCTGGAAAACTATTAGTGCCACGTCGTTCATTCTTAGATGTTATCGCTTACAATCCAATTTTCTAAATAACTTAATTTACTTCACTAACGTATCTTAGTGTTTCCATTTTATACCTAATAGAATAATACTCAAGAACAATTAGAGTCTTTTGAGATACAAAGTTTACATTGGTCTATTTATAGAAGCAAAATTGATTATAAAGCAAAAGTTTTTACAATAATACTACTTACTACTTTCCATCGAAAATGTACACTTTGGATCGTCAAAGGGAAAAATATTTAAGCTTCCTTGACATGATAGTATTAGATGCCGTCTGAAAGAAAAAAAAAAGAATTATTTAATAACTGTAGAATTATATAAATGTAAAATAATATATTCCTTATTTGCAGTTGTGCATGTTGTAACTATAAAGTGGTTGCATTATAGCTTTAAAGCACATAATGTTCCTATCAGTGTTATATGGTGGTGAAACTTATGGATAGAAGCATATATGGGGAAATTAAAATAACTTTGGTTGCACATCATAATATGACCACCAGCAAACTCCATAAGACGACGCATGGTGTCATTGATGACGTGCAACGAAAGTTGTTTTAATTTCCCATATAATATATAAACTTATTTAATTTAAATGGAACACCCTGTATATTTTATGAGAATCAGATGCACAAGTTAACTGTCTATCAAATTGTATCATACCATTTTTAGCTATCTCTAAGTTTCCGTAAAAAATGCATTTTCTTATAATTTCGAACTTATTTATCAATATACCCATGGAATATTGACATTTTAGATTATTTTTAAAGATGTACCAAATTTTACACCAAAGAGTACAGATACTAACATTGTCGATATAATTCGTTTATTTCATTAAAAAAATAAAACAAAAACTGTTTAAATATTTGTTAAAGAGGACCAATTAATATGATTCCAGTATTCAAACTATATTAACTGACTGTTTGCGTTGATTAATAATAATTGCCCCAAATACTAAAAAACTGAGTTTTGTATATGTATTAGACAGTGTGGTAAAAAGTAACACCTTAAAAATGATATTTCATTTTTTAATAAATGCTTATTTATAACAACAACAGAGACATTCATTTTTATAACTTATTATTGTTGACAATTTTCATAACTTATTATTGTCACAACTGATTTCTGATTCAAATCCTCATTTATTTAGAATAATTTATTAACGAACACAATTAAGTATGTAATTAATTAGTATTTGGGCGGAAATAATGAAGTTACATTAAATTAATGGTATACTCTTTTATAAAGATTTAAATAGTTTTCATTTTGCATACAAATGGGCTAGTAATATTATCGTTTTGCTAAAAACGATAATATTACTAGCCTGTACATTTTGTACATTTGTTACTTTAAAAACAATCTAAAATGTCAATATTCCATGGGTATATTGATAAATGAGGTCTAAATTATAAGAAAATGCATTTTCTACGAAAACTTGAAGGGTTAGGTAAAAGATGATATAATTCAATTTGATAGACAATTAAATTGTGCATCTGATTCTCCTAAAATACACAGGGGGTTTCATTTAAATTAAAGAAGTTATTGGCGTTTAAAGCTAGAAATTATTTAAAATAATTTTTTAGACACTCTGTATGAGCCACTATTATTTTTATTATTGCAACACAATAACTGATCAATAAATAAACTTCAGTAAATATTTAATATTAAAAACTTTGATACTCTTGGAGAAATGAAGCCTTAAAATTTTTACTGCAATTTCACAAAATTGAAAATATTTCAAAAACGGCAAGGTTTAAGTGTAATAAACCTCAATTAAATTTACCTTTATTTTAATCATAGAAACTAAAAATGTAATAATATACAGGGTGTTCCATTTAAAAAAATACAATTTTGATAATTTTTATTTATTTGGGACACTCTGTATGTTGTAAAAATATTTTTAAATTTTAACTCTAATAGTCCTTCAACGAATCCAAAACTTGCAATTTGGAAAAATCTAATGGTTTAGCTACAAGACTCCGTGTCGTATGTGGTGAACAACCCTGTATATTAGAGTTGGTATATTAGAGTTAATCGAGGGGCTGCTTTTTTACCCTAACTTTAAAACACCCTGTGCAATAATTTCGTCTGTAATTTTTTTTAAAATATAATTTTACGGTCAGAACCATGACTGTAAATCTCACTCTTTTAACGTTTCTATTTAATCTCACTGTATTTGTCTCCTGTTGCGCGTATTTTGTTTGTGATATACCGCGTTCTTTTTATATTTATATAGTTTATATCTTTTTGTATTGTTTATATTTTTACGTGTATTATTTTGTAATATGCTTACCATACGATAAATAAAATAAAAAATAAACAGCTTTCTAAAATTCTAATTTTTTAATATGACGAGATGGTTTTGATGAGTATTGTCGTAACTTCATATTACACTGAATTGGATACTCTAAATTAAAAAAAAAACGTTAAATACTAACGATACAGTCCACGTTTTAATAAACATTAATAACGATAACAAAACTAACGATATTAAAGAATACATCAGTAATACTCAAGTAAACAAACAAAAAAAAAATGTAAAAAATACCCTTTGTATTGCCGCCCTTGGCTGCTATAACTGCCTGTATACGTCCGTTCATACTGTCACCGAGACTGCATATATGATATTGCGTTAAGTTTTCCCATTCTTCCTTAACGACCAAGCAAAGTTCATTTAATCAAGCTGGTACTGCTTCGCGACCTCTTACCCTCCTGCCAAATATTTGCCAAACGTCGAACATGATGGGCTGTTCATAGTAGTATATAATTCACAATAATCACCAAAGCCGTTTTTGTCACATTGAAAAATAACTTCAAAAAAGAAATTGTAATTGAAAAAATTACAGCTTGTTGGTGGCAAGCTCATTTCGCTATTATCAGTTAACCAAGGCATGTATTGACATGATCCAAAAAACAAAATGCACAGGAGATGTGGTTCAAACCGTAAAATTATATTTTAGGTAAATTTACAAAGGAAATTATTGCAGATGGTGTTTTAAAATTATGGTAAAAAACAATCCCTCGATTAACCTTGTACAACTTGCCAAATACTAAAGTTTATAAAAAACTGAGTTTACGAATAAAAGGTGATATAATTATAAAAAATTCATAAGAATAGAGCTAAAAGTAACAAAAATATAACACTTTAAGTTTGACCAAAATTTTCTCTGTTACGTTTTTTTACATCTGAGTGAATTATAAAACAATAAATATATTTTTGGGTAACCAAATCCTTCTTAAGCATATATGAGACAATGGAAGGCTCTGTTATGACTATTTTAAACTACCAGAAATTATTCAGTTCACTCTGAAATAGAAACAAGGAGTTTTTGGTGTGGATACCAGAAGTACGATTTTAAAGGGAAAAGAGAATGCTAACGGCTTCGCTAAAATAGGTGCAGGTAGGTCATTCTTAAAAGCTTGCAAGGGTGCAGTGATCACGGCCTACTAATAAAAAAGCAAATAAAAGAAACAAAAAGTGGTATTTACTAAAATATTCATACACATATTAAAATTTTATTAAGGACTAAAATATTTTACTTTTAAACTGTTACTGCTAAATCTCTAAATATATTTTGGCTATAACGAGATTTACTATAAAGGGATGTTTGCAGGGAGGTTTGCAAATATATAAGTTGGCCTGATAGCATTTTCCAGATCTTCGACATTGTTGTAATTGCTACGACATATTACATTTTTCAAAAATATGCGAGGCCATTCGTATGGGCCCAATTCATTGATTTTTTAAATAGTTGTTTAATTTTTTTATAATGTCAAAGTAATGAGCGGGAGCCCCATCTTGCTGAAAGTATATTTCACGTAAATTAGCTAAAGGAATATCTTCTAAAAGATTCGGTACGATAGCTTCCAAAATTTACAAATAGTGGTTGGGTGTTTTGTTTTGTTCAAAGTTTTCCTGATATATAAAAAAATATACCAAAATATACCATCCCAAAATAAAACAAGAGATGTGTAAAGCAGTATATTTTAAATAATTATTTTGTTTCTTTTATTATCAATCACGGGCCTACAATAAGAAAATGATAACTTTTAAATATTGCAGTAAATAGTGAAAATAAAATAGAATCATATATATTTTTGAGAAACACATAGCAAGCCAGATCTAATATGCAGTATGTTCCATTTAGGAATACAACTTTTAGGATAACTTTAGTTCATATTTTCAAAAATATTATTTTCGTAGAAACACAGACTACGCCACTGTATTCTACGTAAAAAGGTCTACAAGAAACAGTTTTCACCTTCTCGATACCGTTTACAGTATCAGAGATACGGGGGGTGTCTCAAATTGCAAAATTTTGAAAAAGACCCTGTAGCTCAGAAACAATGAGGGCTATGAAAATTTTGTTTACTGCATCTTCCGTTTGACAAAAAAGTGGGCCAGGTTTGTGCGCATAAACCGCATTCTTCTATCTTCACTAGGAGATACTGTATGATTTCAACCAAAATGGGACACCCTGTTTTTTTTTCTTCTTCAATCACGCATTTTCCATCACAAGCGTTTATTTATACCCCGTCACAATTCATCTTTGTTGCAGGCGTACCTTACATCAAAGCAAAATCATATTAAAAAAAAATAAAGAATCACGAAAAATGTTAAAACCAAAATTTGAAAAAATGTTGAAACCATAGCAATCAAAACTCATTCGTGCAACAAAAATGGCGGCAAAATTTCATGGTACGCACTGAAAATGAACGGAAGAAGCCGAGATTTTCTGCTCTGGTTTCACCGTTTCAGTGATTCTCTGTTTTTTTTTATTTTTAATACGATTTTGCCTTAACCTAGGGTCGAATGGGAGGCGGATGAATAGACGTTTGTTTTTCCATCAGTACATTTTCTGACACAGTTAAAAATAATCTTTGCGCTCCGAATATAAATTGACTATTACTTAAGGTCGTAAAGTGCATCTTCTGGAACCACTTTAATGGAAAATTTATAATTTAATTCACATACTGCAATTTAATTTTTTGATCACCAGATGTTCTAATTTTGCAAAAGCCAGCCTCTGTAGTAAAATCCATAATCACGCTAAATACAACTATGTACAGGGTGGCTCGAATTCGACGCTCATCATTGGGATTTCGGAAACCGTAAGAGATACAGGATCGGTTAAATGGAGGCAAAGTTGCGCAATTTGATGCTCAATAAAATGCTGTATTACATTTTTATTTAATTTTTTTTGCATAAAATATTCTGGTGATGGAATTTTCTTCGAAAGAGTTCGAAACCTCGGCAAATATCAAAGTGACTGTATATAGTGTTTTAAGAGTGATGAAAGGATTTAATTAAATTGAAAAAGAAATTAGGTCCGTATTTAAAAAAATTAAGTTGATGATGGTCGCCAGAAACCGAAACGTCAGAGTCAATATTTAATCACACGGAGTTATAGAGCAGAAAAAGTGACCATGAAAATGTGTTTTTCATTTTAAATTATCTTAACAAATAAAGCCAGGAAACAATAGAAAACATAATTGAAAATTCCGTTTTTTTTTCGAATATATTCGGAAGTATACGAAATTTTTCAAAATGCAATAAGGCATTTTATTGAGCATCAAATTGCGCAACTTTGCCTCCATTTAACCGATCCTGTATCTCTTACGGTTTCCGAAATCCCAATGATGAGCGTCGAATTCGAGCCACCCTGTACAGATAAATTCATACAATACTGACATAGTACACGCAAAGTTGTTGAACAAAGCGTTGCCAAAACAAGTGAATGTTATGAATGAGGAGTATAATGCAGACGTCATATAAAAAATTCTGTACATTTTCAATTTTATATGTATAATTTCGGACCTTGCTTGTAACATATACAAGGAATTATTCTCTATCAGCATACCAAATTTTATAAATTGTATTTTACTTTGTAACATTACACTGGTATAAGAGAGACTCGAGTCAATCGGAGAAATTGATTGGCATAAATCGATTTATTAAAAAGATTCGTAGTGTCCATATCACTAAAACAAACTTGAAGAGTGTGTCGCAAAACTTGTCCAGATAACATTATATAAAAAATTCGAAGAATCCAATGCCTACCACGTCTACTACCATGTCTCAAACGTATCGGTCATTGAAAAGGCTAGCTGCGATAGTTCCAAAGTCATGATTACTAAATCCCACTTAAGATGGGCTGGTTACGTATGGAGGATGCAAGAAAACCGCCTACCGAAATCTCTTCTTTATAGTGAGAATTTAGAATTTAGAATGAGTGGGAGGGGGTTAATCACTGCGACTTTACAGATTTATATCCCCCTTTCTTGAGTTATAACTCATCATACAGTCCCAGGGCTTTGACAAAAGTCAGTATCTGGGACGGTTTTATAGAGGGTTGTTCTCCATCTCCAATATCAGTCGTACCAAAGTTCATGGCACGAATAGTTGTCGTCTCGGCGCGCTCAGTGATGAGCGCGCCGAGACGACATTTTCCCCACAGAATCTGCATTCGCCGTTTCTTCTTAGTTTCAATCTACTGAGGTGTTCATTGAGGAGACAGTGCCCTGTTAAAAACCCCGTGACAATTCGAAGATTATTCTTACTTAAATCCAAGAAGATCTTTGATTTTTCTTGATCCTAAGCCCTCAGAAACTTCTTCGAGTGTCTTAGACCGTTGCAAGATTCCCATTCCAGGTTGCGGATTGAGTCTTCTAAGTTCTTGAGTTCCGCCGTGAGTTGGTTACCACTTGGAAAGCAGAACGGTTCTGGTTCAGTTAGTGGAGTATAAATATGTGTGGGCCTTCTATCCCTTGGTGAGCAGGCACCCAGAGTAGGAGGACTTTGTTTTCTTTGCCTAATTTATTCAGCTTCTTTATGCATTCTTTGACCAATTTCGAATTGATTGATACTTAGTTGATCGCTTTTAACGCTGCTTGACTAACAGATAAGATGACTATTTTTTGTTTCCGATAGTTCCTATCTAAGATAAGTTGTACGCATCTTTCTATAGCGTAGATTTCTGCCTGTAGGATGCTAGGGTAGGTGCCCATTGGTTTTGGAAGCATCATGATACCAAGTTATGGTATGGTCTTTTAACTGCTGGGCAGACGTTTCTCTCTTCCAATCCTTTTTATTGCTCAATACTATATTGAGATGTTTCTCAAAGTTGTACGTTCTTGGCATATCAGCCACTGGGAGTTGCAGGAGTGGTATTTCCTTTTTGAGGGTGTTCCAAGCCCCTGATCTGACAGTTCTCCCAGTACTGATTCCGTTAATGACCATTCTAATCATTGTCGCATTGGCATATCTACCAATGATAATGTGCAGTGGTGTTAGATATAGAATGACGTCCATTGCTGCTGTTGGACAGGTTCTCATGGCTCCTGTGATGCAAACGCATGCTAGTCTCTGGACTTTGCACAGGTTTAGCCTTGCCGTCCGTTGCTCTAATTTTGTGTACCAGGGAACTGCTCCATAAGTAATTATGGGTCTTACTATCATGGTATACATCCAGCGCAATCTTTATAGTGAGTCTACAACCCTACCCTCTACAAGGGTAAAAGGAAATCGGGTCGACAGCTCCAAAGGTACAAGGGTATTTTCCATGAAAACTTAAAGAATATAAGCATGTAGAATCAGTGGAAGCAGCGCACAATAGAATGCCATAGAGAAGAATTGAAAACTCAGTTAACAACGACAATCAAAAAGTAAAGAGGCAACAAAGTAATGAGATTTTTGAATGTCCGGAGTGGGGAAGAGAGATAACATCACGTATCGGGCTTTTCAGTCACAGAAAAGCTCATAAAAAAAAACGCCTTGCGTAACCATATTTATGTAAAAAAATGTGTGTCAAATACTCGTCAGCGAGTAATGGCAATGATAATGATGTAAAAAATAGTAAGCTAAATCATAGCTTAGTGGAGGTATACAAAGGCATTATACTCTACCAACAATACAAAATTAACATTACTTTACAGGGTATAGAAAAAACAAAAGACACCATGAAATATTTTGGCTTTAAATGAGTTTTCTCTCTACAGTTTCATACTACATATAATTTTGCTGATAAAATTAATAATAGAACTAGATTAGAGTTACCTCATTAAATAATTTACGCTTCCATTCCTATAAATTCGTAAACTAAAATGAACTGGTATCAGTGGGTCCTTAAAGTCACCGTGCATGATGAAATATGTGTCTGGCAGCCAAATGTCATCGTGGTGGTGTATTGCATTTAAATAGTTGTACTGACTTTGATTCGAGTATCGAAGTCGTGGGTCGTACCATTGCTGTTGAAGAAGAAACTCAACTTCATATTTCTGAAAATGATAGAAAATAAGTTAAATATGCAGGGTCCGGCAAAATTGCGTCGGTATTCTATTTTAAGTCTATGGCGTCGGGCATCTGTAGCTGCTAGATTAAAAAATTTGGGAATGTTGTTTAAGTGCAAACCTAAAGTATGTACTAGAATGTATTTCAGGAAAATATTTTAACTTTTACAGGGTGGCTCAAAAAAGTATGAGTGGACCGGGATGATTTTTTTAAATGGAACAACCTGTATATTATTGCATTTTTGGCGTTCTTTCAGATCGCTTTACATATCCCAAGATATAAGTAAATCCCAAGATATAAATATTATTTTGGTAATTTTCAGAGATTACTAATAAATAAATAAAAAATATAGATTTATAATATTCAGCCTCTTTTTTAAAAAAATTATTGAAAATACAAGAACTGTCCTGATATCAAAACTATATTAGGTATTTTGTTTTAGATGGTCTGTAATTACTTTGCTATAAATATCGTGGTGTTCAAAATTCTACGTCAAACTTTCTAAAATATAAAATAATTTCTCCTTCGTTATGAATAACGAAATTTTATAATTATATTAGTAGTAGGAATGAATGGAATACCCTGTAGATTCTCCATATAATTTAATTCTCCATATATTAAACAAATCATATACAGGGTGTTCCATTTAAAAAAATGAAGAACAATTATTTTATATTTTAAGAAGCTTGGTGTAGAATTTTGAACAACCTGTATGATTTAAGACCATCTAAAATAAATACCCAATGTAGTTTTGATTTCAGGACAGCGCTTGTATTGTTAATATATTTTTTAATAAAGGCTGAGAAATATATTTTATTTATTTATTAATATCTCTAAAACTATTGAAATATATTTACTCATACCTTAAGATTATGTAAAGTGATGCGAAAGAAAGCCAAAAATGCAATAATATACTGGTGTTTCATTTAAAAAAGTCATCCCGATCCACTCACACTTTTTTGAGCTACTCTGTAGAAGTTAAAATATTTTCTTAAAATACAAATACAATACAATCTAGTACAAAAAAAATATAATCTAGTACATAGTTTAGGTTTGCCCTTAAACAAAATTTCCAAGTTTTTTATTCTAGGAGCTACAGCAGCCCGACGTACTATTGCCGGACTTTGTATAGATAGTAGGAAAACGGAATAATATAAGAATAATATATATATATATATATAGACGCACGTTCGTTCCTGGTAAATTTACATAAAGAGATAAAACTGTTCAGAACAACCCATCCGTCTTTTGCTAAAAGATCGTTCTGTGCTGTCGTAAAAAAACTGTGGCTTTGATGTTAGTGTGTCAGTGCATGCAATAGCGCAGTTAAAAAGAAAGTTCTCGAGAAAGTTCATATTTTCAGTTTAAGCCCTGTCTCTGTTCTTTAATAATGACCAATTGTAAAATTCGGAAATATTTTTATTAACATATTTAGCTTACTAAAATGTTGATATTTTTAGTGTGACGCCTGTGACGGTTTTTTAGAAATTCCATTAAATTACTATTTTACAGGATGTGAGCTTTTCCAGAACAGAACTTCGCGTCTGTGCGGGCTATTAAAAGCCGTGTAAAAAATAATCATAAGTTATCCGACGATACGATGATACGATATTAATTTTATTGGTTGAATTTAAAGGCTTCGATTGGTTAACCGTTTCTAACCAATCGAATGAAAATCAAGCTTTAGACTTTGGTCGCTAAATGTCATGGTAACTTTTTCATGGTAACGAAATTCTTGAAATGAAATTATAATAATAGAATCATTCATTTTTAAACAGATGTACAGAGTGTCCCACTAAGAATAGCTCTCGGCTAATATTTTCCGAGATACGAAAAGTATTAGCCGTAGGGCCTACGGAAAAAATATTTATAATTAAAGAGGCTATGAGAAATGGCTGCAAATTATTTTCAAGTTTGTAAAACGACCGCTAGAGGGCACAACAACTATGGAAAATAAGAAAATAGAATTTTTACAGAATTTTGCCTAGATAATGGGTACTATAAATAATAGCTTCATAATCTTCAGTAAATTTTGGATTTTTTTTGTTAGAACCATTTTCCCCTATCTGCTAAAATAAAGTGGTGGGGGAAGGTTAGATCTATCTTTATTTAAATGTTAATAACTCCCGACTGGATGATCAGAATCCAATAAACGAGGGCTCGTTTAAAAGAGCGTTTCTTACTCTATATTATACTATAAAAATAATAATATTAAGGTTTTGAACGTAGACGCTAGGGGGCGCTTTCTTACAATTTAACACAACATAGCGCGTTATTTAAATTAAATACGATAGTATATGTAATTTTCGCTGATAGTAAAGAGTAGTAAAACCTTAAAAAGTCAGCGAAAACCGCATCTCGATATCTTCTTTCAAACCAAATATATTAGCAAAATTATAATAAATACCAAAAATAAGCCCTTAATTGCCTTATTGCAACACTCCTTACTACAACACGGTATCAGTAGCCCTCTTGATTATGCCCATTCTAACAAAAAAGAATAAGATAGAAACAGTTAGTTTATTTTAAAACCGACGAAATACCAGAATACCATAATACCAGGTGTATTAATATCTTATAATTAAGATATTAATAACAGTGAACAAGAAACTATGATTCAGTGAAGTCATGGTAGGCCTCGTAGTAGGCTTTGGAAAAAAATAGCTTTTGACGTAATAGTATGAACGTCAAATTATTATTAGATCAGCATTTTGAAAGTCTTTTATCTTTTAATTGCTTTTTCAAAATGTCAACAACTTCAACTACTTCAAATAATAAAGGCATTATGAAAAAGCAATTAAAAGATAAAAAAAGCTGCCAAGACTATGAAAATGTTGATCTAATAACAATTTGACGTTTATACTATTACGTCAAAAGCAACTTTTTTCCAAAGCCTACCACGAGGCCTACCATGACTTCACTGAATCATAGTTTCTTGTTCACTGTTATTAATATCTTAATTATTAGATAATAATACATCTGGTATTATGGTATTCTATCTTATTTTTTTTGTTAGAATGGGCATAATCAAGAGGGCTACTGATATCGTTTTGTAAAAATAAGGTAATTAAGGGCTTATTTTTTGGTATTTATTATAATTTTGCTAATATCTTCGGTTTGAAAGAAGAAATAATATATAAAATCCTTAAGTGACTGACATACTGATTAATCACGATCCTGCTCAAACCAGTCAACGTAAGAAGCTCAATTTTGTCATACAGCCAATTTGATTTTGATGTCAATATGACTCCTATTTGTAGAGGGCGCCACCTACATGTGTTTTAACAGTTTTGAAGAGTAATAACTTTTCGTCCGTACCTGTATAAAAGTACTGAGTGAAAAAATATACATTTCCGTGACTTTTTACGTAAACATGTCTCTTGGTAAAAATCGCTCCGAGTAACCGTTCTCGAAATATTTAGAATGGAAATAGTCAATACATGTCATTATTGACAAAAAATAAACACGTTGCTGAGTGGATAGTTATTTGACTGAAATAACAAATTCCGGAAATTTTTATTTTTTTAAATTAATCATAAATTTTTCTGCGAAGAATAAAATATAAAAAAATATTTCAAATTTATGATTTCAGTCTAATAACTATTTGTTAACATGTTTAATTTATGTCAATGATGGCAGGTATTGATAATTTCGATTCGAAATATCTCGAGAACCATTACTGATAGCGATTTTTCCCAAGAGACCTTATTTACGTAAAAAATGTCATAAATGTATATTTTCTTACATAGTAGTTTTATACAGGTACGGACTAAAAGTTATTACTCTTCAAACCAGTTAAAAAATATGTAGGTGGCGCCCCCTACAAGTAGGAGTGATATTGACATCAAAATCAAATTTCTCATGCCAAAATTATATATTATATTATGACACTAATTTTCACACAAATATTGACGTTACTTCAGAAATTATTTGGAAAAAATCGAAATAAAAATGAAACTTCTACGCCCTGTATCTCCGTAACTAAGCATTTTAGGACATACATTTATACGAATTTTTTTATTTATTTTTTTCAGCAGAATATGCTGCCGAAGTTTCCGGAATACAGTTCGGACCACCCTGTGTATATATTTATGACAATGATACGAAAGTAGTTTCCAAAAATGTAATAATATACTGGGTATTCCATTTAAAATAACAAAGATGCTATCACTTTTCAAATGATCCGGCAACACTGTAATGCTGATAATATTTTAGATAGATGAAACAGGTAAAAAAAGTCAAATTTTCCAAAGAAATCCTATGCCCGGTTCTCCATAAACGTTTAACGTATGCATCGCCGTGAATCGCCCTATATTCTATATCGTCGATCCTGATTTACTGTATTTTTGTACGATTTTTTGAACTTCATAATATTGCAAAAATAAACATTAAGATTTTCGTGATAATATAAAAGTGTATTGAAATAATAATGGTTTTCCATAATTACAAAATATGATATTTGACGCTTTTATTTCAATGGTATATATGTTAAATTCAAGCACCATGAATAAACATAACCTAAACATAGATAGTACGTAAATTAGTAACGCATCATTAATTTACTGGATCAATGGCCATTTGCATCTGAATAATTAGGACTGTGTGTATTGTAGATATATTTGTCTATGATATCTACTAATATTAAGTTTAAGTCGTGGGTATCTTTATATTCTGCGCCGTATTTAGTTTATGGATCAAAATATTCTCAAAAAATTTCTTTGTTTTACTGAACAATTTAATATTTGTCATTAATCAAATACTAGACAGTATGAAACAAGTCCGAAATTCGTTCCGAAAATAGTTTTTTACGTAAGATAAAGGTGCTCTTCGTTTAGTTTGAAACGAAACTGTTTCAAAATATTTCCATTTGAAGGTTACGATGCGTCAATCTTAGTATTAGCGGAATTATAATATGAATTTTTTTTGATTGGTAACTAGTAGAAATTTGAACGAAGTATAAAATACAGCCACGACAGTGAATCGTTGATTCACAGAAATAAACTAAAACTGAAATACCTACGCAGAAGCAATCTTGTTTATGACAGCTGAATGGGCGAAATAGCATAGAGATTAAAGAAAGTCAAAATAAAATGGAAACGATAAATTATTATAGGCTACAGAAAAATTATTATTTTGAGCAAAAAATCATGGTTTAAAGAACTTTTTTGTCAAAGATTGTAAAAGGAGGACATTTGGGTGCAAAAGGAGGCAGGAGGACTTTTCTTCTAAAAGGAGGACAGTCCTCCCGAAAGGAGGACACTTGGCAACCCTAAGTATCACCCACTGAAAATTGCTACACTATTTTTAACACCCCGTATATGTTTATATGTTTACAATGAATGTGACATGGTTTTCCCAATGTGTTACAATGAACGTGAATACAGGGTTGTCCCAATATTCCATGGACATAGAACTACTCTGTATTTTCTGAATCAAAATATGTCCATTGGACACAATTTACCTCTATACAAAAGAGCTTCGTTTGTCCGTTAGAGGGCACCAAACTTTAAAAAAATAAACAGAGTTTTTCAGATATTATTAAGAACCGTTATTCCGATTTGAATGAGACTTTGGCTGTCTATGTTTTGCTAAGTGCTTTAACATTTGACTTTCACAAAAATCAAGAAAAAATACTGGGAAATGTGAAAACTACCCCCACCCGTAGGTAAATTTTACTATAAATATCTTCCAACTCAACCGACGCGACGACCGATTTTTTTCTCGTAAAATGATCCTTCTAGCATTTACTACATTTTTTGTCTTTTGTAAAAAAATGGACATACTTTTTGAGAAAAAAAATATTTTTGTCACATCAAGCTATGGCGGCATATAATAGTTATTAATGATACAAGTTCGATACGAACATCATAATGGAACGCCTGTAACGTTAAGCCACGAGGCGTTAGTTACACAAGTTTCATTAAAAAGTTTGTATCGAACGTGTATCATTCAAAATTTAATCTACGACGGAACACGAGGGACGATCCAAAGAGATTAATTTAAAAGATTAATTTAAAATATCAGAGATATCCTCATAAAAATTAAAATTGAAAATTATCAGGTGCCTATATTAGTCGACGCCGTGGTAACCGTGCTTGTTGATTGTTTCCATTTCGACTTTGACAACTCAATTATTGATGTTCAATTTTGTGTTAAACCTTCAGTTTTAGCAAAAAGCAAAAAATAATATTAATATGGGTGATTCTGATTCTGAAAGTGTCCCTTCGGATATTGAAGGCATTTCGCAAAACATTGTCGATTCCCTACTTCACGAAAAATCAAGACAAACGTACGAGCAAGCCTATGTAAAACTTGAAGATTGCTATAAAGGGAAAGGAATCAAGAATAGTAGTAACGAAAAGGTTTCCCTGGCATATTTTGAACATATTCCAAAACATAGGAAGGCTTCATCACTTTGGGTATATTACTCCATGCTACTTTCAGTTATATCAGTGAAGAAAAATACAGATATTAGTAAGTACGTCCATTTAATGGCATTTCTAAAAAGAACATCGGAAGGATTTCAGTAAAAAAAATCGAGAATTTCAAGAAAAGAGACATAACTCGTTTTTTGTTGGAAGCCGATGAGAAAACTTATTTCCTGACAAAAGTTTCATTGATAGTGGGACTTGCGGGAGCCTGCCGGCGTATCGAATTGACAAATCTGCAGCTGCAAAATGTTAAAGATGAAGGACAATGCATTAATGTCATTATTCCATTTACGAAAACAAAGATATCACGAGATTTTTTTATAACGAAAGGGAATGTTGAAGGAATAAATATGGTGGAAATGGTTCGAAGATATGTAGCTATGCGGCCAAGCAACACAGAGCATACTCAATTTTTTGTGGGGTACAGAAATGGAAAGTGTGTTAAGCAACCCGTTGGCATTAATACTTTAGGGAAAATGCCGTATAAAATAGCATTGTTCCTAAGTCTTCCAAATCCACAACAATACACTGGACATTGTTTTCGTAGATCGTCTGCGTCGTTGCTTCAGATTCAGGAGTGGATTTATTAACTGTTAAAAGACATGGTGGTTGGCGCTCTAACACAGTAGCAGAGAGCAATATAGAAAATTCCAAAGAAAATAAGAAAAAAGTGTCATGTAATAAATTTACTTTCTAAAAATTCAACTCACCTGTCATCGTCTGGAATTAATTTAACTAATTTTACTGATATTATAATTAATGTTTACAATAAATAAACGTATTTAGGTACCTTTTTTGCTTGTTTCTTATTATAAAATTTGCGTGTTATTATGAATTCATAATAGCACTAGTGCTGTTATGAAAGCCATGACATCCAAATGACAATGTTTAATGTGTCATAATGGCATTGTCGTAGATTAAATCTATTATGCTCTTAATAATCTAGTAGGTGAAAATATGAAATTTTACGTTAGTATTAAAAATTATATTTGACAATAAGGTTCATAAAAGCTTGAAAAAATTAATAACTTTTAAATTAATTAACGTTCGGTTTTTTTATTGATGCCCTCTAACGGACAAATGAAGCACTTTTATATAAAGGTAAGTTACGCACAATTAATTTATTTTGATTCAAAAAGTACGTATTTGTTCCTAAATAAGTCCCTGTATATTTTGTAGGTAGGTCTGCTGTCGAAAAACAAATTCTCCAAATTTTTTTTTCTCAAAAACTATGCCATGTGGCGTTTTTTTTTCAAGAGATGAGAAATATAGTACCATGAACACTAAAAGGAATGTTTTACAAAAAGAAAATCGGTGGTCGGTTGAGTTGGAAAATATTTATACTAAAATTTATGTAGGGGTGGGGGTAGTTTTCGCCGTTCCTGTACTATTTCTTGATTTTGGTGAATGTCAAATGCTAAAGCGCTTAGCAAAACATAGACACCCAAAATCTCATTCAAACGGAATAACGGTTCTTAAGATATTTAAAAGAGGACAACAATAAAATAGCGGACAAACAAAGCACTTTTATATAGAGGTAAATTGTATCGAATGAACTTATTTTGATTCAAAAATTATGTCCACGGAATATTGGGACATCCTGTATTTGTTAACCCTGAAAAGCATAAGTACAAATTGTAACTGCCCTGTATTTTTTTCTACAAAATTTTTCTATACTAACATAAACTGTTCTTAAATTAAGACCAAATGATAAAATTCTTCAATCGAAAACTACATTCATTCATCTACAAATTCAACTGACAAATTCAATTGTCAAAATTTCAACTAACAAAAATAAGGAAATTTTGATGTTTCGATACAAATAACTGTCTATGGTTATAACTACTATTAAATTGTTTTTATACCTAATCTACAATAAACTACATATTTCTAAAAATATACTTACTAAACTAGATTCATCTGGAGACGCTAAACTAAGAAGCAAAACGCTAACATTAACTGTAAGAGATCCTGAAACAAAACAAAATTATTAATATATAAAGAAAAGAAATAATAACAGTATTTTACACAGAAAACGAGTAACTATCATAACCTGAAAATATATGACACACCGTTTACGTTCAATTTTGTAAAAACACACGCCTGGCCTACTAAATGGTGACAACTAAGAAAAGTACTACTAGGTATAGTTTTACATGCACGGACAGTTCGATCAAAAATTTTTATGTACAAGCGATCTTTGCAAAAAAACATATTTTTTTTATAAAATAAAATATATTAGAATTTTTTAACCTACCAAAGTCAATGCCCGTTGGATAGTAAACCTTTTTCATCTTTTTTTTGTTTTGTTTTATTTCTAATTTTCTTGGTGGCTAAGTGTATAAAACGTACATAAATAAAAATTATACATGGTGTTTCAAAAAACATGTGCCATCTCTCGAGGGGAGATTCCTCACGTAAAAATTAGATTTATTTTTCATATCAATATAGGTCCGGTTCTGCTTTGTTTCGTAGCTACAGGGTGTTAGAGTCTTAATATTTTTTCGATTTATTATAATTTTCTTCCAAGTACTTTTAGCGTTTCGAATGAAATCTTGAGGGTAAAAGTTATTATACATACGACATATTTTAAAGCTAAGAATGTGTCGATATATTCACCGGTGACGTGCATATCGATCATCACTGGGATATTTTTTTAAAAAAAAGTATGTACGCTACTGACTGTTTTTCTCTTCTTAGCGAAATAGTGTAAGCAGTTTAATGCTGATTGAAAGTTGTCTCTTGATATTTTGTCGATTTTGGCCTCCTTGACGAGATAATTTTTTTTTATTAATTTGCTTTGATCCAACTCTAATAAAAAACTTTGTCAATGATTTTTCGTCAAAAAATATGACAATTTTTTTCTATAAACATTACATATATAAAAATGCATAGTTTTAGAGTTACAGGATGTTAAAACTTTTAAAATTAGGTTTTTTGTAATTATCTTAAATATCATTATTTTTTTATTTGAAATTGCTGTAGGTTTCACTAATAGTAGTAATAACTATAATAGCAATAATATTTAGTAATAAATTAGGTAAAATATATTGTCAAGGATGGAATTATTGGATATATAAAATAACTTAAATATATTTCGTAAATTAATAATTCGATTGAAAGGAAATATAAAATAATTAAAGTTTATTGGCATTTACGCAACAGAAGTAAAGTTTTAAAAATCAACGTTATAAGCATAATTGGCAATTGCGAAAATATTTCCTTTCAATACTACGAATTTATAAAATCATCACATCAGCACTAACGCGGTCATCGCACCGGTCATCGCACCGAGAGACAAATAATGCTGATTCGATGATGATTCGACGTAACGAACCAATAAATATAAAAATGTCACCTTATGGGGGGACAGTCACACAGTCAGACAGTCGATAGTCGAGAATTGATGTTCGATAAGGTCGCGGTCGAGATTCCGGCATTGACGTTACACTACCCTGACACTACCCCCGAGCCAGCGATGATGTTCGTCATAAATATAATATGTAAGTACATATTTATTTTTATAATTAATGCATTATTCTTAAATTAATTAAATTGATTATTAAATTAAATCATCTGTTTCATTCCGCTATGCCCCTAGTCATAGCCCACAAAATGGGTCGAGACATATGGGGTGGAGGCGCCGAACCCGATAATAATATGTAGCAGAGGCGCCGGCTTCTAATATAAAACAATGTCACATACCTCCGTATGTGGTGGAGGCGCCGCCGGCTCTCTTGTAATATAATACTATGGATTTTATCAAATAATAAATGTTTTACACACCTCCGTATGTGAGTTGGTGAGTGGTAAAGGAGGCGACCATATTTAATTGAGTCGTTTTACAAAAACTGCCGAACCCGCCGATAATATGTAATTTTTTATATAAAACTATTAATATAAAACTGTTTTTTTATAACAATTTTTTACACACCTCCGTATGTGCTGAAGGCACCAAATCCAGCAATAATATGTAGTAGATACGATTACTCTTTGACTCTCTTTTTTAAATATAAAACTATGTTTTTTAATAAATATTTTTTTTCGCACAACCTCCGTATGTGATGGAGACACCGAACTTAGCATTATATATGGCAATATATATTCTCTTTTTAACAAATTATAATTATATTAATATTCATTAATTTACGAATAATGTGCATGCCAATTACATAATTACAACATTTTACGGTAGTTAGTAGATATTTTTTTCTCTCGGTTTGTCTCTCAGAATCTAAGTTCATTTATTCATTTTGTTTTTACTACTTTATATATTTAAAACATGGCGAAATAAATATAATTAAAATACTAAAACATATATGCGAAATAAAATCATTTTTTTAATACTTCGATAGCAACAAAGAAGCTCGCACATTTTTATTTTACATTTACTGACTTAAATAATTACATATTTAAAATGCCTAATTATTTGGTAGGACGAATTAATTTATTTATTGTGGTTTATTTTGTTAATAATTGGAGATGGCAGAATTTATATTAAGACTTAGGAATCTCTTATATTAATTTTATTTTACATATTTTCTATTCAATAATGTGTAGGTATATTTTTTTAACAAATATCCAATATATTTTTTCATTAAATGTCCAGTATTTTTTTACACCACTTTGACAAAAAATGCTGTCGAATCTATTGTTTAATTTTTATTTTATCACTGCATATGGTAATAATTTTTCTGAATAATGACAATTTTTATTATTGATAATTTATTTATTTTAATTCTATGATACGGATACACAAATAAATCGACATCTAGTATATTAATGATATATATTTTAAATGATTTTTAGTGTTGCCATGATAAATATAATTTTTATATGAGAATTTTATTATTTAAACCTTACAATTTAACCTATTGGTTGAAAAACACTGTCAAAGATGACACTGACCTAGAAAACATTATTCTTGTTAGGAATATTTTTAATTTTGAAATATGAGTGCTAAAGAAGTCGACCATATTTATTTGATTCATTTTACAAAAACTGCTGACTTAGTTGGAACTGCATTGTGTGTGTTAAGAAATGTATTATATTACGTGATATACTGAGCGATAATATTTTAATGATAGTTTAAAATTTATTTGTCTTATTATTATTTAAATTGATTTTTTTAAATATATTTACAATGTCTTTTGTAAAAACACCTGTTCTACCAGAATTTATACCGCCACCTACTTTTGACCCTACAATCGACTGCCCAATTTCTTTTATTCGAGAATATGATAAAATAACTAGTAAGAATGGCTGGGGAACTATGCTTTTAAGATAAAATATTTAGAAGGTTACTTAGAAAAGGCAGCTTTTTATTGGTATAAGGAATATGTTAATGACAAAAACAGTTTTAATAAAGTCTGGAACGATATCAAAAAAGATTTTATTTTAGAGTTTGGAGGTGAAATATCACTACGTAAACTAAACTCTAAATTCTGTACACGGAAACAAGGTGAAGAAGAAGATATAAAATCTTATTATTACGATTTACTCTCAATTGCACATAAAATCTACGGTAAAATAAATTTTGAAATCTTTAAAGAACAATTCGAATATGGTTTACATCACTCGTATAATTATCTCTTATATATTATGTATATAAGATTTCGACAGACGATGACAGAAGAAAAGCAGATGACGTCCCATACCAATCTATTTATTTTACTAAAAAAAGTTTCTAATAATTTTTAAGTTATCTATGGATGGGTTTAAATATAAACCCGTCATGCGTCGTGTCTTGTTGTTTTTAACCAGTTTTATTGATTTATTTAAAAAATGACTGATCGTATTTCAATTTTATTGGTTTGACGGAACGATGAACGACAAACGGACGCCGATGCGTATGAACTCGCCTTTAGATTTTTGTCATTTTTGACGCTTGTCAAAGTCTTGCCAAATTATAGGTTATAATTTTGTGTCAACTTTTGTTAAATACCCTGCGTTTTGGAAGATGATGCATTTTGATTCGTATTATACGTGTGTTTTGTGTCTTTTGAAGTCAATTGGAGGAAAAATCGAGTGAAAATTAACTGTAGACCCATAGCACAGTTTATGGTTAATACTCGCTGCCCAGGCAGAAAGTCTTATACACCAAAGAAGTTGCCATCGATAAAGTTTGTATACCATTTCGTCGTAGATAAGTGCATCTTGTATATGGTAGAAGGATCAAACTAAACACATACTAAAAACTGGAGTAGCTGTAACATATCGACATCACACGATAGGTAAATAATGGATTTTAGTACTGCAGTAAAATAATGTCAAAAGGTACTGGTTTAAAAAAATTAAGATTAAAGTTAATTAATCAACCTTTAAGGTATAAAATTTGGTAGGTGTTATTATTAATAAAATAGTTTGTTTTATTTACCTATGTTGTTTTATTTATTCCTGTGGAATATTACAAATTTGTATTTGTACATATACAGGTTTAAATATAAACCCGTCATGCGTCGTGTCTTGTTGTTTTTAACCAGTTTTATTGGTTTATTTAAAAAATGACTGATCGTATTTCAATTTTATTGGTTTGACGGAACGATGAACGACAAACGGACGCCGATGCGTATGAACTCGCCTTTAGATTTTTGTCATTTTTGACGCTTGTCAAAGTCTTGCCAAATTATAGGTTATAATTTTGTGTCAACTTTTGTTAAATACCCTGCGTTTTGGAAGATGATGCATTTTGATTCGTATTATTACGTGTGTTTTGTGTCTTTTGAAGTCAAGTGGAGGAAAAATCGAGTGAAAATTAACTGTAGACCCATAGCACAGTTTATGGTTAATACTCGCTGCCCAGGCAGAAAGTCTTATACACCAAAGAAGTTGCCATCGATAATGTTTGTATACCATTTCGTCGTAGATAAGTGCATCTTGTATATGGCAGAAGGATCAAACTAAACACATACTAAAAACTGGAGTAGCTGTAACATATCGACATCACACGATAGGTAAATAATGGATTTTAG